CTGGACTCGTTAGAAACTGGCTCTTTGCGCCTCTTTATAGAGCAAACTTTGCTCTATAACCTGACGCAGTTTAATCGCGATCAGTGATTTCAGTAATTTTCTAGGAATTTTCAAACCTGGGTGATGTCTTATACGAACCCATTCTGCGAACAAGTTTTCAAAAATTCATTTCTCCGAAACTCCACCCGTTACGAACTTGCTCTTTGCGCCCCTTGATAAAGAAACCCTTGCTCTATAATCCCTGGAAGTTTAATCGCGAACAGTGGTTCCAGTAATTTTCCGAGAAACTTTGTTGGCGCTTTGCGCGCATCCTCTCTGCAGGCCAATTTTCAAAAATTAATTTTTCCGAAATCAGACCCGCTAGAAACTGGCTCTTTGCGCCCCTTCACAGAGCAAACCCGGCTCCACCACCCCTGCGAGCGGGACGGCAATCACCCAATCCAGGGCCATAATCAAAGCAATCAAAGTAACGAGTCATTGAAACGGTTGCATTCAATCAGAGTAACGGCTAGCGACTCTGCTTCTAGAGTAACACGTACACTCAACACCTCTACTGCAAGCCCACAAACTAGATAATCGAAACTAAAACGAAACAAATCAAAACAACAACAATAAACTTGGCCAACGACCAACGGGAGCTTGCGTACGAATCAAAGGGGGACGCGTGCACTAAAAAACACTACAGCCAATCAAAAACTAGTTTACGACAATCAATCAGCAGCCAATGAACGCTTATCGGGTGTGCGGATAAGGGCTCATCAGGACTGATTAGGGGGAATACCTTCAGGGCCTTGGCCAGGATCGCCCACCTTCTTCGGGCCACTTTTTTCGTTTCATTGCGCCCACTAATAAAGGGGACTTGATCGAGCTCGATTTTGAAACACGGACTTAATGCGAAAATGTCGTTCGATTGGTCCATGTGTGGGGCCACCAATGGGCATCGTCGCCCCTTCTGGAAGACCAACGAAAAAAAAACAGAGAATAGAAGCTGCTGGACACCGAATTGGGCAAAATTTGCGAGACTGACTGTTTGGCAGCGCGTTTGCCCGAATCAAACTGCCTGATTGAGCGGCAAATCATCATCACGGCACTGTTTATAATCCTTCAAGCGCCTTCTCGCATTCCCATTGTTGTGCGTGCGTAATTTCGGATACAATCGCGCTAAAAATAGCCCCGTCCCCACTAGCCGAACATCCAGTTCAACGGCGCCCTCGGCCCGCTATCGCACCGAAGTCGGGGCTTCCGTAATCAAACTGGGGGGGCCCCCAAGAACTGGGCAAAGTGCGTAGGAAGGAAACTCGGACTACTTACATGGCTAAGGTGCACTGGGCGGCTGGGCGGCGTTCCAAAGGGGCGCCGCACTGGTTGGGCCCCGATTTTTTCCAGAAAAGCCCCAAATTGGCCCCTAAACACAGACACTGACTGATTGACAACAACAACAAAACAATTGCTCCAGATGTCAGTTGTCGTTTGCCAATCGCAGTGATGGACGGGTTTGGAGGTTGGTTGGGCAGTTTGGCAGCGCCGCGCCTGAGACCAACTAGGGCTGGGAAGGAAACGGGTTTTGGCCTGATTTGTGCCAAAAACTTGGGGAACTCGCCCGGTGATGTTTTGTTTGGTATAATTTAATAAAAATTTAAATTCACAAAAAACTGCCGACTTACAGTCAATTCGAGTAAAATGGTGCGACTTGCCAGCAATTATTCAAGCGCTTCCAAGAGCCAAAATTGTCGCAAAAAAGTCTGTTAATGAGTGAAAATACAGTGAAAATAGTTTTCGTTATTTTTGCAAAAAGGGGCGAAAAGTCAGCCACACTGTTGCTCAGAAATTGTTTTTTTTTTGCGTAAAAAGCTTGACAGTGGCAATGCCGCACGCCACTGACAAGGGTCAGAAAGGGGTTTCCTGATGGTGGATTGGCTGTTAGAAACCCCGGGTTTTAACGCGTGCCATTCCATTCAGGACAATTTCTCGATGGGGAAACATTCATTTTTCTGGGGTTTCTCGGGGTATTTGCGCCAAAATCCGCGAAAACCCTTAAGCGCTGACAGTTGTCACACGCATTCTACATTTCAGTTTAGGGCCCCATTTCGGGCCAGCCAGCCCGCATTTTGACAAGAAACGGGTTGTGGCAGGCCCTAAGAGTATCCGGCGTTGCCCCTTAGGGCTTGGCCCCCCTCAGGAGAGCTATTTCCTATAAAAATCCCAAAAAAATCCTCATTGGGCCAAGATTCTTTAACTAAATTGTGGCAGCTGGACCCTGCCGGGGCTAATCAACCTGGGGCTGTGCCTCCAGGGGCACATTGGTCTTTGGGGAAATTAAAAAATCAATTTAATTAAATAAAAGTTTCTGTGCACGCCGCTGAGTGGGGCTGTCGTTGGCACGTCAAGGTCGTGGATCGGGCGTTCGGCTACACTCGTTGACCAATCAGAAGGCGCCGTCGAGCCGAACGACCTCAGCTGGCCGGCCCGAGTGACCGTTCAGTCGCTTCTTGACGGTGGTGGAGTGCGGATGGTCGTTTTAGTGCTCGTGGTGAATGCGTATGTTTTTTTAAGTGGGAAATGATTTTGGGCTCTTGGAGCGGACATAACCACAGTTTGGGGACTTGCAGCAACGACGCGCAGATGTCAGCAGTCGCAGTAAGTAAAGTAAGAAATTGATTTTATTCGGATTTTCGTAAAATTATCGCTCGTGAAAAGTTTAATAAATAAATTAGACATCAATCCAATTTTACAGAATTTTAATTATTTGAAGGATACAAAGTCAATTTTCGACCCTTAACTATCACCGAACGAAGTGTGGCCTAATAAATGGGTCAGATTTTCGAGCGATTTAAATGAAGCTTTTCCGGTTTGACGCGTGCGCCACCGTCTAGTGAAGGTGAAAATGTGAAGTTAAAACATGTTTCGGTTTGGAAGTTGCACGTTTTTAAACAAAACCCTGAAATTTTGCAAAATCACAAATTGTCACTCGTGTTTATAAATTTAAAAGAAATTCACCGATTTCGTTAAAAAAAACACTTGAAATGGATCGCGCAAATGTCAATTTCAAGCGCCTTATTGTGAAAACTCGTGGAAAACGTCGAAATTGGGTAAAAATGCACATTTTTCTTGAAAAACACTTAAAATGTGACGTGGAAGCAGCGATTTCACAAGCGTCTACGTATATGGCACGTCCTGTCACTTCTATCGATTGCGGCGATTCGAACCAATCAAATATCGATTTGTATCGTTGTCGAACGTATCGTTGACAAGTTCTACAAATGAGTTAAGACGATTTAAGGTTATGTGGTTTTGTTTATTGTTGGATGATAATTATTTTATAATTTGTCGAGATAAACAACCGCGAGTCTGCCAATCATTTTTTTTTCATTTTCTCGTGCCTTTCGAACCTTATATAAGCTCTAGATAAAAATGACAAACAAATAGTATCTTACAGAAATTCATAGGTAAATTTTATGCGCTCTTGGCAAGCAATTTTTAATTTTTTAAGAGGAATTATTTGAATTTGTTGGAACAAAAATAATAGCATTGTCTTTATATTAGCACAAAGAAAGACAGTGATAATTATGAGTATTTCTTAATTTATAACAATTTACAAATGATTTATTCTGATCAACTTAAATAGGTATTAGATTTTGTAATCGTAGTATTTAAGTAAGCAACTTAAACCATTAAATAAATCTCCTAAAAAGTTTGGTTTATTGTATATTTGACAGTATATTGAATATCCTTACATACATCGATACATTTATTTGGATAGTTTTCAAATTAGTAAATACATTCCATAGATTTATTTACCGGTAAAACTTATAGTAAACATGACCCAAGTGGTAATAACAAGTAAGAGTGCTTATGACATTAAATACTAAAAATGCAATAAAAAAATGTTGTTAAAATATTTAAAATTTCTGTTTACAAATCCTAGTATTTTATACGCATGATATAATGAAATTAATTCACATAGTACTACCTACTAAAAAGTCGAACTACGTTGTTGGTATTCCACTTTTGTTAAGCAAAAAGTAAATGGAAACAGAAAATACCAGCAACTATTTTGCTCAATATTTCTTGACTCTTACAAAAGTAATTTTATTTTTTCTGTTACTTTAAAATTAAAAAATCGTTGATAATTTGTTTTAATTAAATTTGCACATTGCACATAGGAAAATGACTTAAGCCAACTATCTATTTGCTCAATAATACATTTTGATTATTAAAACGCCTCATTTGGTGTACATAATATATAGAGTAACGTTAAAAAACACATCGTTAAGTTCTTCTAAATCAAACTTTATAAGTCCAATAATTTTATCAATATTAATTAAGTTAACACAGTCAAAGTCCAACACTATATTAATAAAAACCAAAGAGTTAACGGTTACAACAAAATACCGGCAAAAAATCACCTAACCTTAAATCGTCTTAAATCATAACAAACCGCTAGGTTCGAATCGCCACAATCGATAGAATTGACAAAAAGTGCCGTATATCTAGACGCTTGTGCGATTTCAACCTATTATTAATTGAAGAGAAAGAGGGAGCGTTGAGTTGACTGAAGTCAAAGTGAGATGTCAATCTCGAGCTGTTTGCCCTGGAAAATAATCAATTTTTGCGCTCTACTCGGGCGAGGCGAAAGAGACAGAAAATGGGAATTTGCTGGTGACCAAGAGAGATGCCTATGGGCAAATCCATTCAATTTATACATTTTTGCATTAATAATTACTAGTTTTAGAGAAAAAATTCAATCAATGAGAACTTGATTGCCAACCGTAAACCTCCACACGGGCCTCTTTTTCAGAAGATTTAATTAAAATCCTGCCCTCCAACGCCACGCCCCAATCCAGCCACAAGTGAGGCTATGCTCGGTCTGGCCGGCTAACCTTCAAAGACCTGTCAATTGGCGTCGGTCTGTTTGGAAAACTTCGAAAAAAACCCAGATTTCCGGCCTAAAAATGGTCAAGTTGACCGCTGAACTGATCCAGAACTCGATGCAGTACGTGAATCCGGTCAAAGACCGGGAGCTGGACCTGCGAGGTGAGTGTGGCCTGGCTGCGGCCCCAATTTCCAGCCCTATTTTGATCGGGCTTGTTTCCAGGCTACCGGATCCCCGAGATCGAGAACCTGGGGGCCACCGGCGACCAGTTCGATACGCTTGACTTCTCCGACAACGACATTCGGAAGCTTGACGGGTTTCCCTACCTGAAACGGCTGAAGTGCTTGCTGTTGAACAACAACCGGATTGTGTGAGTTGCTGGCGGGGGCGAAGCCCCGTTTCGGTTAAAGAGGGTTTGATGTGATGGATTCGCAGCCGCATCGCCGACCATCTGGACGAGTACATTCCCAACTTGGAGTCGCTGATTTTGACGGGCAACCAGCTGGAGGACCTGGGGGACGTGGAGACGCTCCTCTCCCTGGAGAAGCTGACCACGCTCAGCCTGCTGCACAACCCGATCACCGCCAAGCAGCACTATCGGCTCTACTTGATCTACAAGCTGCCGCAGCTGAAGCTGCTCGACTTCCGGAAGATCCGGCAGAAGGAGCGCGACGAGGCCAAGCAGCTGTTCAAGAGCAAAAAGGGCAAGGAGATCCAGAAGGACATCCTGAAACGGTCCAAGACTTTTGTGCCGGGCGGCAACATGCACAACATCGCCAAAAGCAGAGGTAATTCCCAAGTCTCAAGTTCAACTGCGTCTCACTCCCTCCATTCCAGGGCTGAGCGATGAGGAGATCAGGAAAATCAGGGAGGCCATCAACAACGCCAACTCCCTAGAGGAAGTGGAACGGCTGCAGAAGATCCTCCAATCGGGGCACATTCCTGGCCAGGAACCCGCTGGTAAGGAGCTCCTCCCCCTGGGGGGCCCGTCAGGGCCTGTTTAAGCTTTGAGGATGTTTCAGATGTGCCCAATGGGGGCTCAGCGATGGAGGTGGATTGAGTGAGGCCCCACTCAGGCTCGCGCCAACCGGGCACATTCTCTCCATCAGGTAAGATTTGCTAAGTTAAGGCGTCGCACTGTTAAGCTGATAAGAATGTGTCTGGTCTGACCTGGTTGAGAAGCGATAACCCAACCGAAACCAATTTTTTTCTGTAATAAATCCAAAAATTCCACAACAGCAAACACGTTTTATTCGGGTAATATCACACAGTGCGCAGGATGAGCCGCTTGGGGCTGCTGTCGCTGACCATCAGCTCCTTCTCGCTGTGCTGCCAACTGATTTTCTCCTGCATTAGTGTGGTTTTCCGTTCTAGACCTTACCTGTTCCCCCACATGTCCCTGACCACGATTTTGTCCACATAGAGGCGGCCGGGCGCGATTGCAGTCCGATTCTCCTCCTCCTCCTCGACTTGGATGGGGAAAAAGTGCAGGTTGGTGTGGATTGCGGGCGTCTGAAGCGGGTCCAGGGAGCGAAACGGGGCCACGGCCACGGCGTCCATCCTCGAGCCGCTCATCACGAAGTCTTTGGTGCTGGAAAGGTGATTTTTTGGTCAATTTCTCGCCAGGTAAACGGCGGACGCGCTCACTTGGTTTCAATGTGGAAGGTCACAGAGTGGTGGGGGTAGAAAAGGGCGATTTGCAGCACGCCTTTGATGGCGCTGGTGCGCTGCGCCACGTAGACGGAGGCCTGCAGTTGGGTGCCTGGAAAAGGCCCCTACTTATGGTCTTCCCGAATCGCTTGGTGCGCGTGGAGCTTACCGCAATAGGGGCTGGAGGCGCGGGTGCTGAAGTACATGATGCCCTCCCCGGTGGAGTCCTCCCCAAACAGGCCCGTTTCCCCTGTGAGGTTGCCCTTGGGGAGCTGCGGGAAGCAGTGCCCCTTTTCGAAGGCGGGCATCCCCCCCGGGCAGCTGTAGGCGATGAACTGGCAGGGGGCGGCGCCCGGTGGCCCCAGCTTGCTGCTGATGGTCTCGGTGAAGAGCTGGAAGGCGCGGATGTGGCTGCAGGCGGACTCGCGCGTCAACTTTCCCCCCTCTGTGAGGTGTTATGAGTATGCAAGCGCCCCAACCATTTGGAAGTGATGTGTGAGGCCGCGGTTAGATTGGAGGCGGGTGCGCGTTTTGGTGTAATTGACTCGGGCCCAACGGCATTGAATTGCTGAGGAAATTTCCTGCAAGACCGGCTTTTCAGCGGCGAAATTGCGTTAGAAACGTGCGGGATATCGGCGTTTTAAGTTGGAGATTTTTAAGGTGCGACTGTGTGAGTTTTGGTGCTATTGCAGTACGCCCAACGCCATTGAAAAACATCAAACACCATTGGATTCGTGAGAAAATTTCCTAAAAGACCCATTTTCCACCGGGAAAATCGCAATGGAAACCTGGGACTTATCGGCGTTTTGATTTGGGAATATGCAGCATTCAACTTCATTAGTTGGGGTGCCATTGAAAAACATCAAACACCATTGGACTCCTGAGGAAATTTCCTAAACGACTCATTTTCCACCGGGGAAATTGCTTTAGAAACCAGGGACTTTTCGGCGTTTTGAGTTGGGAACCTTTTCCATGCAACTTCGTTAGTTGTGGTGCTATTGAAGAAAATCAAACGGCAATGAATTTCTGAGGAAATTCCCTATGAGACCCATTTTACACCTGGAAAATCGCTTTAGAAACTTGGGACTTTTCGGTGTTTTGAGTTGGGAACCTTTTCCATGCAACTTCGTTAGCTGTGGTGCTATTGAAAAAAATCAAACGGCAATGAATTCCTGAGGAAATTTCCTATGAGACCCATTTTCCACCGGGAAAATTGCTTTAGAAACMTGGGACTTTTCGGCGTTTTGAGTTGGGAACCTTTTCCATGCAACTTCGTTAGTTGTGGTGCTATTGAAGAAAATCAAACGGCAATGAATTCCTGAGGAAATTTCGTATGAGACCCATTTTGCACTTGGAAAATCGCTTTAGAAACTTGGGACTTTTCAGCGTTTTGAGTTGGGAACCTTTTCCATGCAACTTCGTTAGTTGTGGTGCTATTGAAGAAAATCAAACGGCAATGAATTCCTGAGGAAATTTCCTATGAGACCCATTTTGCACCGGGGAAATTGCTTTAGAAACCTGGGACTTTTCGGCGTTTTGAGTTGGGAACTTTTTCCATGCAACTTCGTTAGTTGTGGTGCTATTGAGGAAAATCAAACGGCAATGAATTCCTGCGGAAATTTCCTATGAGACCCATTTTCCACCTGGAAAATCGCTTTAGAAATCTGGGACTTTTCGGCGTTTTGAGTTGGGAACCTTTCCAATGCAACTTCGTTATTTGTGGTGCTATTGAAAAAAATCAAACGGCAATGAATTCCTGAGGAAATTTCCTATGAGACCCATTTTGCACCTGGAAAATCGCTGTAGAAACATGGGAGTTTTCGGCGTTTTGAGTTGGGAACCTTTTTCATGCAACTTCGTTAGTTGTGGTGCTATTGAAGAAAATCAAACCGCAATGAGTTCCTGAGGAAATTTCCTATGAGACCCATTTTCCACCGGGGAAATCGCTTTAGAAACCTGGGACTTTTCGGCGTTTTGAGTTGGGAACCTTTTCCATGTAACTTCGTTAGTTGTGGTGCTACTGAAAAAAATCAAACGGCAATGAATTCCTGAGAAAATTTCCTATGAGACCCATTTTCCACCAGGGAAATTGCTTTAGAAACCTGGGACTTTTCGGCGTTTTGAGTTGGGAAACGCCATTGAATAGGAACGGTGGGGAAAATGAGCATTTTGAGGTGAGGAGTGTTTTAGACCCAACTTCCTCAGTTCTGGGGCGATTTCAATAATTTAAAAACCCGCCAATTGGGCTTGGAATTTTGAGCAAAATGGTGTTTCAACATGAGAAATCCCACCAAAACTGTAAAAGTTATCAGGGTTTTTCACTGTCAACTCGCAGGAAGTTTCTATAAGGAAGAGCTTGGCACCATATCCGGCTCAGATGCCGCTTTCAGCGCCAGAAAATCGATTGTTCGACATAAAAAATGCCCGCATTTGCTTCCAATCTAGCCGCGGCCTAACAGCAAAGTGAGCGCTCAGCGCTCAGCGCTTACCCAACTGCGTGATCAGCACTGAGCTGCGCCGATCGCGGCATCCGGGCTGCTGCTGGCCCCCATTGGGGAAGAAATCCGCATGTCCGATGGGCTCCCACAGCCCGAAACCGTCCGCTAGAAACTGCAGCAGGCGCTCAAATTGAGGTTGAGGCTCCTCACTCCCAAACCTACCGGACTGGCGTCGGTATGCAGAACATCCACATAGCGCGCATCCGTTCGGTCCAGCTTCTTGTTCTTCTCGCGAAAATGGTTGCTGCGGAAGAGCGGACTGGCGGCGTCCAGGCCGGTGATGCGCCCCATCAGGTGGCCCTTGATTTTGAGGGGCTCGGACGCCGCCCCTGCCACATGCGCCCCCAACGAGAACCCGATCACGTGGATGTTGTGGGGCTGGAGCCCGCCCTCCACCATGCTGAGCAGCAGGATGCCCAATTGACGCCCCACCAGTTCAGTGTTGGCGGCGGCCGATGTGTATTGGGGCCCCCGAGCCCCATTTTGCCAGTCGACCAGCAGCACGTTGCAGTCGTACTAAATGGGGGGCGCATGCAAAGCAAATGTGGTCAGTCGTCAAGTTGAGGAGAAGGTGAAGTTGAAAAATTCATTTTCCCGAAACCGCTTGCTGGAGTGGCACCAAATCGACCGCGCAAGTAACCTGAGGGTTCCTCCATCGCGTGCTGATGGCCGCTTTCGGGTGCCGTGAATGGTTCCTTTGAAATGCGCCCCAGAAGAGCGTGGCGCAAAAACGAAACACCGCCGGAAAAAATTGCAAACTTCCCCATTTAATTGTGAAGGAACCACCGGCTCGAGTGGAACCAAATGCGCACCGCACGTACACTGATGGTTCCTCCATCGAGTGCTGAAGGCCACTTTCTGGTGCCTTGAATGGTTCCTTTGAAATGCGCCTCAGAAGAGCGTGGCGCAAAAACGAATCACCGCCGGAAAAAATTGCAAACTTCCCCAATTAATTGTGATAATTGTGAAGGAACCACCGGCTCGATTGGTACCAAATAAACCCCGCAGGAAAACCGAGCTTTTCTCTATGGAGTGCCGAAAGGGGCAGCGGCGCATGCGCCATAAATGCGACTGTCCAGAACTCACCAGCTGGAGGTAGGCGTCCTTCACCTGAACGGCCCCCGATTGGTTCCATTTGCTCGTGTAGCCATGGATGAGCACCTTGAGCGGCTTGAACACATTGAAGCTGGATGAGCGCAGCGAACCGGAAGCGTCCGCATAGTGGAGCAGTTCCGGTTCGGTGCGATTCTGGCGCGTGAACAGCAGGAACTTGGTGTCCAAAGCGGCCGGACTTTCCGGCACCTTCTGCAGCGGTGAGTTTTTGTGCGGGAGACTGAAGCAGCCCACCACATCTGTGCGGGGCGAAACGTTGTGCGGATGACGTTGGCTGTTGGCTCGGCGATTATTTACGTACCGTAGCAGATCATTTGCGTGTTGCGCTCGCGCGTCCGATCCCTGTACTGGCTCAGCTTGGCTCTGAGTCGCTCAGTGAGCTGCCGCGCCGCTTTGAGCGGGAAGAACAGCTGGGCGTCGATCAAAAGCGCGCAGCTCAGAAACAGGCACATTTTCCGCAGCATTTCAGAACCCAGTCGCCACACTTTTACTCACCTTGAGAGCGTTCGACATTGTCGAGCGGCCACGCGGGTCGCGAATACATAACTGAAGACTCGCAACAGCCACTTTCACTTGCTGGCAGCGTTGCCAGTTGACGCCGTTTTTCCTCGACTCTTTTCCTGGTGCGGGCAGGTGTGGATGTGCATGAGTGAAGTCTGCTTTCGAAAATTTCACTCTTCGGGGCTCGATGTAGGTTTGAAAAAATTACCTAAAGTCTCCTGAAGATGGTTCGAAATCGAAACGTTTTCCATTTATTGATTGAACTTTTCTCTACAAAACTAAGGCAAAATTGAATTTTTTACCTCGCAAGATACGCAGGAATAAAATTGTCAATTTCGGCCTGCAAAATTCAATCGAGATTTTGAAAAATTGTGGAAAATTGCCTGGGGATGCCTGAAAAATCGAAACTTTTCCCACTTGTCGAAGGGACGTCATCCTACAAAATGCGTCCAAAACT